GACCTCAGCAGTGATAGGATTCAAATATGTGAACAACTGGTTCTCTGTGTAGATGCCACTTCTGGAAATCCATTCTGGACCTGGGCAACAAAAAATTAGCTACCGATTCTGCCGAAGTGGTGTGAACTGGCTGAATCCCACCACTGGACCTCAGAGGTCTTTTATCCAATTCCCCCCCCCCCATGTCAAGCAGGAGGCCCTATACAGACTTATGGATGTCAATAGTGTCAGGAAATGGGGCCCATAACACACTCAGGTTCCAGAATTGTTCATACAACCAAGTCTTTGTGGATATGGCAGAAAAGGCAGGTCTCCTGGTTCCTACCAGCCAACATTCCTTCGCTGATAGGACCTCCAGCATGCCCAACCAACCTGACTGAATTGGACAGGTAGAACAACTGGGAGAAGATGGTCCCTTAGGTGACCTGATCTGAAACCGTGAAGGGTGTTAAAGATGCTATCCAATGTTAAATTTCGCCCAGAAACACTCTGGTAGGCAGTGCAACTCACAAAGAGATGTTACATGTGTTGAATGCCCTTTACTGTGCAGCCATGTTATGCACTAGTTGAAGCTTCTGAATATTTTCAAGGGCAGCTCCATGCAGAGTGCATTGCAGTAGTCCAGACAAAAGGTCAGAAAGACATAAGTGACTGTGAGATAATTTTGCTCTTTCTTTTCTGAGAATAGGATATAAAACAGGTTGCCTTCTTGTTTTTGTTTCATAAAACAAAATTCCCAGAATAGCTTACAACCATTCCCTGGTAATTTCATTCAAAGAATTAACTAGGTCCAGTCCTTCCTAACATTTTTAAATCAGCCAAGGTCAGCCAGGAGTTCTATAAAATAAAAATAATGGGTATGATGGGTTAGAGAAGTGGGCAGAAAAAATGCAGTGTTATAGAAACAAACGTTATGTTTTCCACTTAAGAAGTAGAATTTAAATGCAGAAGTATAAGATGACAAAAATAATGTCTAAATGAAAAAGGAAACTGGATATATATCATTCACAAGCTGAATACAAAACAGCAATGTGTTGTGATTGCTAAAATGGTAAATACAATATTAGGAAACATCAACAGCGGTAGAGTTTTCAAACTACAGGACCATCACACTGTATTCTCCACCAATGAATCTTCTTGAATAGTGTGTGCAGTTCTGGACAATATATTTTAATGAAAATTCAGAAAAATTGAAACAGGGTGGAGGAAGGCATAGAATAAACTAGAAGAAATACATTCTCTTTAAAGGAGAGTCAGGAAAGAGAAAGGCAATTGTGAAGAGACACTGTGCAATTTGCAAGGAAGAGAAGGATTGCCAGCCCCAAAGTCTTGTTCTCTGTTACTCCCAGATGGCATGACAATTAAAATGAGCACCAGTTATAGGAATGCAGATTAAATGACTGTTAGTAAATACTTCTAAAATTAAGGTCTATTCAACAGTGGAACAAATTACTCAGAGAGGTGGTGGGCTTTCCTTTTTGAGTGGTATTCAGCTGAATGGTGGTCTTTCATGAAGCAGGTGGTTGGGTGTGATGGTTCTATGACTCCTTCCAACTCTATGATTCTAGGAGGCAATGTTTCAAATGTGAGAGTTATTACTGATATAGTATAATCAATACATATGGCAGTTTCCAGAGCACCATAAATCAAAGAGGAAAAAGCTTGTACCCAGGAACTTCCAGTCAGCATTTTGACAGAGGGAGATCTATAACATTTTTAAAACATAGCAGTCAAATGAGGAATTCTGTGTAAATCAAATATTTCCATGTCCTATTTGAAGAGTCAAAAAAGCCAATATTCTATCACCTATTGTAGTATATAGGATTCGTTGTTTCATAAAAATGCTGGACTCCTTGACAAAATCTTGAAGAGTTAAAAAGGGAGGAGTGGATGGTAAACCTTCCCAAATTAAAGAGATCCTTCTCAAGTGAATCATTACCATCCAGAGATGCTTAACTCTCTGACACATAGCCCTCTAGAGGTCTATTTCATAAAAAAAGAGTCAAGCTTTAAGATTGCATGGAAGTCACTTCCTGTGATCTATCTGCTTTGTCCTCTAATTTTACATGTCTGTAAGATGAATATCAATATGTGAAGATACCCTTTGATGACTCTAAGCACACAGGCAGTATGGTGTCCTTCAGATGATTTGAAATATAATCCACAACGCACATCTACTCTAACCATTTTACCTATTACCTCCCATGATATTAATGATGGCTGATTTAAAATTCTGGCAAGGTTTTGAGCTGTATTCCAATGATAAATAAGATCAGAGACAGTATAGGAAAATTAAAGCTAGCACTTCTAATAGCATTGGTCTCTCTTTTTTCTTTATTAGCTTCGAAATACTTGGTTCTATTGATGACTATATCTCCATCGCTTACTCTCCATGATTTACTTCTTCAAGTCCTAATTGGTTAAAGAAAGGAGCATTTTAAAATCTTCCCTCTATAAAATTATTCAGAATAATAGATGGTCAAGAAGGCAATTTATTGGACCTAACAAAAAACTATTAGATCAGAGCAAGTCACATTGTGTCAGCTACTCACATCATCTCCAATGAGTAATAAGAAAAGGAGAAGATATTGATATTAAAACCCTAGGACAAAAATTTAATAGATATTCTGTTGAGAGCAACATGCTTCCTGATTTACTTCTGGCACTTCCCATGCAGAGACAGAAGAACTAACACAAGGCATCTGATGTTAGTAGGAGGGAAGGGCAAACATCTTAATGAGGAGTCCTTGATGCTCTCTGAGCTTGGTTATTTTCTTGCAGACATTTTATTCCCTAGCTAAGTAACAGCATCAGTGCTGATGTTGTTACTTAGTTTGGGTAATGAAATGCTCACAAGAAAAACAATCTAGCTTAGAACCTCTCACTTCAACCCTGAGTTCCTTTATTGATAACATCATAATAATCAAATGTACCAAAATCCTAGGACAAGTGGGAACCAAGGTTGCTGATAGATTTATAGACCCCCAAACACAAGGGGATAAATATGTTACGCCATTCACTTCCCAAGGCCACAGAAAAAAATTCTGAAAGAGTTTAACAATTTATCCCTGCAGGTACATGTTGTGAATAGAGTATTAGACAAAATTGAGCAAAGAAGACGGTGAAGGCCTTGACGGTTAAATTCTATGAAGAATACTTAAAAGAACTGGATATGTTTATCCTAAAGAAGAGAAAGAGAAGACTTGTTATAGGAAAGAGGTATAGATTTCTTCACTGTAGCTCCTGAAGTAGGGCAAGAACCAGTGGCTGTAAGTTTTACAGAAGATCCAGATTCGAAAGAAGGAAGAATTTCCTGACCACAGGAGCTATGATATGTAGACAAGCCTGCCTCTTGCAGTTGCAGGGTCTCTGTCATTGTACTTTTTCACACAAAGATTGGACAGCCAACTGGTATAAGGAAATCTGCTCTGGGTGGAGGGCTGGACTAGAACTCCCAGCTCCTTCCAGCCCTGTGATTTGAAGAAAACACTGCAATCTGCATTCTGAGAGTTAAAACACACTTTCGAGGAGTTCATTCTGAGACTGGCCTTGAAAATTTGTGAAGGAAGGAGGGGGCAGAAGAGAATCATGTACAATGTTTCTTGCTGGAAAACTTATTTTAGTAATAGTCAGTCCAAATAAGGCAAGAAAGATATGTTGCTAGAATCGGTAGAACTAATAATAATAATAATAAACCCCATCAATCAGCACTCCAATATTTCAAAATAGAAAAGGTTCTTTTATCGTACATATGGCTCTGTGTGTGTGTGCGTGCATGCGCGCACGAGCATGCATGTGTGTGAAAGAGTAAAAGAGAAAGAGGAATCAGTAGTTTTTCTGCCCTTCCACTGGACATGTTTATTTTTTTATTGAATTTATAAATTATATATAATTTATATAATTCCTAGGTGTTCTAGGTGTTCTATCATTGTTTATTTGTATCCTAGGTGTTCTATCGTTGTTTATTTGTATCCTGTCTTTTATTACTTTTACAAACAATCAAAGGTAGTAAACATATCCAACACACCTTCCTCCTCCTATTTTCCCCAACAACAACAACAACCCTGTGAGGTGGGCTAAGCGAGAGTGACTGGCCCAAAGTCATCTAGCTGGCTTTCATGGCTAAGGTGGGACTTGAATTCACAGTCTCCTGCTTTCTAGTCCAGCATCTTAGCCTCTACCAAGCTGGCTCTCATTTGCAAGTCATAGAGGAAAATGACAGGGTCTTTCATAAGAGGGGCATATTCAGGCAGGATTCTTAATATCTGAAGAGGTTCTAAAGGACTTTTAGGGCACCAAAGTTTAAATTTTTATTACACCTTAATTAAAGTAAATCTAAACATTTAAGAGGTACCATGTAAGAAAGAACCCATGTCCAAAGATGCTTTAAATCAGTATGTAGATAGGATATTTTGTATGTGGCTATGTGCATGTGGTTTTTCTCCTGCAAGGTAACTTCAATGTTTCAAATTATAATGTGTGGTGACTTTACTTCACTGCTAAGCAAGTCCATACCCTGGAGGAATAGTCTTTGCACAAACTTAAATATGGATCCTGGCACATATAAAGAACCTGAGGCGTTTCTGAAGTTCCTTGACACTGGCAATTAATAAATATCAGTATCTAAGAAGGACTTTAGGACAAAGGAGAGGGCACCCCTGCTCAGATGCAGAGCGCAAGTAGGGCTAGTCTCCAATGAAAGATGCAGAGTCTAATTTCCTGGAAGGCTTGAGCGTCGGTGCTTTTCATTCTAGGAAAGAAGCTCAGCCTTGCCCCCGAGCCACCGAAATACCCTTGGCCAGTGCTTTTGCTGACATTGACAGGACGCCTGCCGGTGTCTCTTTCGGCTCCGCCCTCGGCTTACGTCACGTTCCTTTAGCCTTCTGGGAGTAGTAGTGTACATTTTTCGAGGAGCGCCTGAGATTTTCTCCCTGAAAGACTACAGCTCCCAAGAAGCACCGGGAGGGAGGTGTGTGCGAAGGGGCGGGCGCCACGGAGTCGGTCATGGGCATACCAGGCGAAACGCAGCCGAGTCGGCAAATAAGGCGAGTCGAGGCTGGAGCAAGTGCGCGTGGCCAGCATACCGCGACCGCCGGGGCAGGCTACGCTTGTTGGGAGGACGGGACGCTGTTTTCCCCCTCCCGGCGGGGGCGCGGGGCAAGACAAGGGGTCATGCAGGCGGAATCGGGCATTGTGCCGGACTTCGAGGTGGGCGAGGAGTTCCACGAGGAGCCCAAGATCTACTATGAGCTGAAAAGTCAGCCGCTGAAACACAGGTGCGCGCTTCCTTCCTGCCTCCTTCTCCTCCTCCTCCTCCCCCCCTCCAAAAATCCACGTCTTCCTCTCTGACTTTCCTCCCCTCCCCTCAAGCCCTTACTTTATTGATCGCCTTGTCCGGCAGGCGGGAACGGGGCATCTCTTGCACCCTTTAACAACGCTTAACCCCTCCGAAGGGCATAAAGCGGGTAAATCAGGACCGGATTTTTTTGGGGGGGGGGAGAGCGTTCGTGGGCGCCGGTTTGCCAGCACCCCCTTTTCTCTCCCCTGCGGGCTTTCGCCGCCCTTCCCTCGCCCGTCCTGTTGCCCTTTCCCCCACCGAAGGCGGCCGCCCCTTTCCTGGTCGATCGCACCTTCTCTCCTCGCCCTCTTTCACTTTTGCTCAGGAATTCCTCTTCCCCTCCCCTCGTCACTCCACGGCGCGCGGTCGTGGAGCTGTCCTCTCTCTGGGCCTGACGATTCCCTCGCTCTTTCCTATCGCCCTCGGAAAAGAAGGAATAACTTGCCCGGGGTGGGTGTTGGGTGGGGGCCCGCAGCGCAGGTGGCTTTGCCTTTGGCTCTTTTTTGCTGACCGCCGCAGCTCCTGTAGCAAAAACCCCAACGCAAGTGGTGTGCTGTTCCGTCACCTCTCAAGTTTACCTCCTAGAGACTTTTCTTGTTGTTGTTTTGCTTTGCAAGATGTGCTGATAGCGCGTGTGGGTTGTTGGCATGCTGGACAGAAGAGGCCCTGCCAGTTTGCCCTGGGTAATAGGAAGCGGGCATGGCAAATGAGAGGGACTCCTCAGCTCATGAGTGCCCCCCCTCCCTTTCCAGTTCTCCACCCCAGCAATGTAGGTTTATTCTGCTTCTCCTTCAAACCACGTTTCCCTCTGACAGCCGGTGGGTGGGTGAGTGAGTGGAAAGGGGAGTGGGAGAGAAAAGAGGGAGGGCTGCAGAAGAATACTGGATGTTTCTACTGGTGCCTTCAGCCTATTTGTAAAAAACAAAACAAAAACAAAAGCCAAACTTTTTTTAAAAAAAGAAAAAGATAATACAAATATTGAAAGGAAACAGCCAGGGCTATAAAAGCAGCCATTTAGAGAGTGGTTCCTGTCATAATAGTAGTTTTGTTTAGTGTGTGTTTGGGCGAGGAAGGAGGGGCCAAGAGCTGTGGCTGTATTATGTAAAGGGTATTGTTGGACCTCTCACCAGAGGCATTATCTGGCGTCTGCTGGGAGTTACAGATTTCCACTGATAGTTGCATGTGTATTAAGCAATGCCCAGCAGACAGAGAAAACTCTTAGGTCTGTGTCTGCCTTGGATGGGCTGATCACATTTTGAATCACAAGGGTTGCTATACCATTGAATTGTTAGCCCTTTCCTCTATTCAGAAATGGGACTGGTAGGGTAGTGGGAACCCACTTATTTTGCATATGAATGGTGCTGTAGAGTTTGATGACTAAATAGTTTTCTGGATCTCATGCGTAGATTACATTGATCGGAAATATTCACACACACTAGTTTTATGGACCCCATGTATAGATCACATTGATCAGAAGTATTCATAGACAGCACAAAGTGACAATGCAAGATACAATAAAGGAGACTGAGGCTGGATTCATATATTATACTAAGTCATTGCTTTTTATTTATTATTACAATTTTATTCTCCCGTTCTATCCATAGGGCACTTGGGATGGTTAATAATATAACATAAAATATTAACAATTTAAAATGTGTAAGCATAGCTAAAGTTGTTGCTAATATAAATGAAAGGACCTGGCTGAATACACATCTCTTCTTAAATGACAGCTCACAAGTTATTCAGTTTATAGCTTGCTTTTCTACTCAATTAAATACTCAAGTTTCTAAAAAATTAAATGTGTACATTAAAATTCATACTAAAATCAATTAACAGCTATCCTAGTGGAGAAAATGGATCTTTGTAAGTGCAGAAAGCTAGGGCCAAACTTAATTTCTGAAGTTTGGAAGGAACTAAGTGAGCCAAATGTAACAGATTTCTGCCAGTGGCAGCGAGTAAATAAATACAAATCTTCAAAAAGGCTTCTCTTGAAGGCCTGAATGGTTGGACTGGTTCACCATAATGAGGGAGGCAGTCCTTCAGATCATCAGCCCTTAAGCTATTTAGATCATTAAAGTTCATTTGTTTAACTTCTGTGGGAGATGAACAGGCTGAACTAGAAGGCGGGGTTAAGCGTGTCATCAGTTTGGAATCATTGCACAACCACAAGAGATCCAAGTCCAGCTCCCCATGAATTCCATTGACTCTTATCTAGTGCCAATTTAGCTTTGACCATTAGTTGACCAGATTCGTATGCGTAGGTAGCAGTAATAAACTCTTCAGTGTTTTGAATTCAGTGAGTGTTCCTGGCTCTTTGTGCCTGACAACTTCATAGTAATCTACCCACAGCATTTGTACCAACTAAGATTGCTAAATCATTTTCAAAGGTAGCCTCATTTAGCTATAGTAAACCAGACACATGGTGATGTCTTGAAGATAGACATAATCTGGTCCAGGTAAGGCAGCAATTGGTGTACCACTTTCAGCTGGTTAAAGCCCCACTTGGCCAGGGTTTCTACCTACATTTCAGGTAGGAGTTGTGAGTCCAAGAGGGCCCCCCCAGATGTGGATCAGTTTCTGAACAATCCTTACATAGTTAATGCTAGCACTATCCTGGAGCCACCATGTTTCTAAACAAATAGTTACTCTCTTTTGCTGAGATAAAGCCTGAACTTCCTTCTACTCATCCGTATCTTATCTCTGGTTTCACAACCTCTCTGCTTCTGTAATGCCTGTGGAAATGATCTTGGGAATCAGGAGGAAGAGTTGCTACCCAGACAACTGTCATGCAAGAGAAGTATTTTCAGACTTGTAAGACTGATGTCGGCTCTTTGAGGTAGTCCTCGGATGAGTACTAACACTACCTTTATTGTAAGGTTATAGCAACAGAATCTTGCAAGTCTGAAAGCACTTCTTCCTTCATTTACTTTTACTTTTGAAAAAACAAAAGAGGGTTCCTTCTGAGACTCTTCCTATACCCCCTTTTCTTCTATGGGTTGAAACACCTTTGCGTGATAGCGGCAAAGATAGTGGCTCAAGGTGTCTGAAATGGTATAGGGTTTCCTGCTTGAGCAAGGGGTTGGACTAGATGACCTCCAAGGTCCCTTCCAACTTTATCATCATCATCATCCTCACAGACTATTAAGATTCAGCCTAGGTTGGATATTATATATATGTTACTTCACACCAAACTGGGAGATGACCTCCCACAGTGACTTCATGTAGATGTTGAAGAGCAGTGGTTAGAGCGTGTCTTTCCATTAATACTGATTGGAAGTACCCATGGCCACAGAATTGTGCTTTCATTTTCTAGTCCTTATACTGTAGACAGCCCAGAAGGATACCATAGTCAATGGTATCAAAAGCTAATGAGAAATATAATAGGGCCAAGAGGAATGCAGACGCACCCTTAAGTTCATAGCTTATGTTATCCACTAGAATGACTAGCTTTCTTTTCATCCCATGTCTGATAAGTACTGAACAGCAGCAGCATATGACCAAGAAGAAGATTCATGCATCTCATTAATCAGACTAAATGCCAGGAAATCTTGGGAACAGTCCACTTTGATTAGAGATTACAGTAAGATGAGATCTCTGTGAGTTGGTTGGAAGCTTTTATCCAGCTTCCCTAACTGATGGGCTGAGGCCTTAATAAGGATAATCTGTTGCTCCGTTGGCATATTTTGAATAGCCTTTTCTTTTCCATGTTCCAAGAATGGTCTAACCCAGGGGTAGGCAACCTCGGTTCTTTTATGACTCATGGACTTTTATGACTCATGGACTTCAACTCCCAGAATTCCTGAGTCAGCTAAGCTAAGCTGACTCAGGAATTCTGGGAGTTGATGTCCATGAGTCATAAAAGAGCCGAGGTTGCCTACCCCTGGCCTAACCGAATCCTTGCTGTTGAAATTAAAAGAAATTACAAAGAATACAGATAATCTGCTTAATCTGAAACTGAATCTTAATACTGACACTTTGATTTGTGTCTAAGAACTTGTGCATGTTTGATAGTACAGGCATATAATCTCTGCTCTTTGCAGTAGATAGCAGACTTCCTCTGACATTTTGCTTCCTTTGCAACTTCTGAAAGTTTTCCAAGGATAGACCCTGCAGAGCAAGCAAGTGTAAGCTATCAAGGTGGAATGCAAGGAAGGCGTAGATACTTTTTCCCAACTCCAGTGATTTTGGGAAGAGTTGCTGTATGGCGCTAGGCATAATTCTACAGTACATGGTTTTTAGGAGAAATTTAAAGACTTTTATTTTTCCAGAATTTTAACTCTGGCTCATTTTTATTGAATTCCATCTTGAGGAGAAGGTGATCGATTATTACTAATTTATTGTTGTTTTTGTCATTTTTGATGTATTTTATTCCTGCATTTGTAATTTTAAAATTGCTGTAATCTACCCAGAGTTTATTTATTTATTAAATTTATATGCTACCTCACTATCGAGAGACCGTTACAACATGATAACAATGAATATGAAACATTGAAAATGGTAACTATTAAAATGAATAAAAATTAGCTAATATAAGAACAAGATACAATGGGAGAGGGTCTTTTTGGAACACACCCACATAGTTTTTTTTTTAATTCAACAGGCTAGACATGTTAAATGAAAAATTTTACATAAATGAAGCAAATACACTGTCTGCTGCCACTGTGTCACTTTTAAGTTTAGAGACAGCTGAGGATCAGACCACACTTCGAGAACTGTGGATTTGTTCAGTGGGGGAGTGCATTCCCATCCAAAATCTCAGTTCCCAGCGTGTATCCTTTTTCTTCTTTAGAATAGGAAATTATCTTGTATACATTTGTTTATTTTGTATGCATTTAATTTCATTCAGCACATTCTTTAAAATATTGGACATGTTCTAACTCAAAGGAAGTATTGTGTATATTTCAACGGCATGGGACCAAAACTACTGTAAAATAGTAT